TATCAAGAACTATGTAATGTTTTGAACAACCAACAATAAAAAATAATAAAAATAATAAAATAAAAAAATTCTTAGAGGTGAAGGAGAATACAGATACAACAGAAATCTCTGGGACACTATGAAAGCAGCACTAAGAGGAAAGTTCATTGTATGGAGTTCATTCCTTAAAAGAAGAAAAAGTCAACAAATAAATGACCTAACATTGCATCTCAAAGCCCCGACCTTCTTCTTCTACTGAGTCCCCACCTGATCTGGCCCAGTTATCTCTCTAAGCTGATCTCTGAGGAGTCTTCCCTCTGTTTATTCTCCTTTGATTGCATGTCCTCTTGGCAATTCTTCTGTCAGAATTACTCTTGCATTGGGCTTGTTATGGATTGAACTGTGTATCCTTAGAAAAGACACATTGGAATTCTAACCCCCACTACCTCTGAATGTGACTTTATTTGGAGATGGGATCTTTACAGAAGATATCAAGTTAAAGTGAGGTCATTAGGGTTACCTTACAGGTATCCTTATAAAAGGGGACATTTGGACACAGTAACACAAGGAGTGTGAAATATGACAATGAAGGCAGAAATTGGGACCATGTGTCCAGAAGACAAGCAATACCAATGATCACTGTGCCAAGGACCAGTGATGCAGACTAGCAGAAGCTAAGGCACAAGCCAAAGATGGATCCTTCTCTCATGGCCCTCAGGAAGAATCAACTCTCTGGACATCTTGGTCTTGGGCTTTCAGTCTCCAGAATTATGGGGCAATACCTTAGTGTTGCTTAAGTGGACAAGATGTAATACTTCATTATGGTTACCCCAGGAAACTCATACAAGAGTTTTGCACTTACTCTTCCATCTATCTGGAGTATTCTTCTACAAGAAGCCACATGGCATGTTTCTTTACCTCCTTTGGCTCTTCTAGTTCCCCCACTACAATGTAAGCTTCAGGAGGGTAAGGATTTATTGTTTGCTTATTTCGTTTATTTCTGAATTTTTAGCATGTTTACATGGTAGTCACTCAGTAAATGTTTGTTGGATGAATGAATCAACCTATCCTTTATAACCCCCACCATTCTGACTGCACTCACCATAGTCCAGACTCTCACTACCTCTCCCCAGACCATAGTAGCAGCTTATAATTTGGCTTACCCTTCCCAACCCATTACCCAAGTTGCTTCTAGGAGTCAGTTTTCTAAAAGTATATACCCTTTCTTTTGTCTGGTTTGGAATATGTTTGTAGTTGTACCCTAGGCTTCTGATCTCTCAATGGCACACCTAGCAGATGCTCTGAAATCACCACCATGGTACCAACAAGTCCTTCCATCCCCATGTACTTATTCGGCCCTTGGTAGACTTTGTTTACCTTTGTCTTGAGTCAAAAGGGTCTTGCATTTGCTCTGGCCAATATGAAGTGGCAGAAGTGATACTATGTAACTATGGAGCTTCCAGAGCCCTGAAATAATTATGACCTACCAATGTCTTTTTGCTGTTTTATATGTCACTGAGTTTGGGAGTGGCTTGTTGTTAATAAATAACAGAAACTTTTTTCATCTTCAACCCAAATATTGCTTCTACATGTCTTGTCCGCTATGTGGAAATATTGCAGTTCCACAAATATATTTGATAGAGATAAAATCTCTCATCATCTTTCTGTCTCTGTCTGTCTGTCTGTCTCTAATATACACACATACATATAATAAACACACAGAGCTGAGACTTTCTGGGTGTTGTGTTCTCTGCTTGAGAGGAAATTCCTCTTGTTTTCCCACCTGCTAACTGTGGCCTTATCCTTTGAGCCCCAGCCTGGTTCAACCTCTGAGTTCTGAGAACGCCCCCTAGCTTGTCAGGACACTCACCACCCTTAGACTAGTAATCTCTTGATTGCTAGAATATTCCACAGAAAGAAAGCTTATGGAGGGTAGGAAGAGCATCCCAGTCACCTCTCTGGCTGAAGTATTTGGCTCTGTACTGATTAGCAACAGATATTTTGTAAGAGATTTTGAAATAATGAACTATATCAAGTGAGTAAATGCTCATATTTAAAATTTTCTTGTGGTAGACGGGTAAGATTAAAATGCATGAAACAGAACAAAGCAAAACAGTATAAAACTAAGTACTGAATGTTCACAACTTGAGAAATATTCTTATCTCAATAATTGGTCCATGCTATATTAGGTTCTTCATATTAGCAGTAATTATAATAATAATGATCCATTACAATGAAAACTTTAGTTTTCAAAATGCTTCTGCACATATTATCTCCTTTGAGTCTACTCTAATTATTTAGGGACAAAGAAGTCATAGAATTACTTATGCTACATCATGTAACATGAGCAGATTTTCATGTCATTTCTTTGGTGCTGAACTTGGTTGGTTGTTAAGCAGGCTGCTATTCTGTCTGCATGAGCATTGGGAGATGGGTCTTTACTCTCTGCCTCCGTTGACTGCTAGAAAACGTAGTTTCATGTGTTATCAGGGACAGAAGCTACTTCCCAGACTTTTCTGGCTACACAGAATCACAAAAACTTCTTTGAAAACAAGCCTATGAAGAGAAAGAGATTTAATACATTTAATAAGTGAAATTTAATGCCCTCAAATTTAATAACTAAGATGACTGTGTTTTATATACAGACATTTGTATTTGCAAAATCTCCAAAGGTTCTCGACCAAGAGCAAAAAAAAAAAAACCCTCATCCGAAATCAAAAGAAGAACTATCTGTGAACTGAGTGAGGCCACACCAGAATAGCACCTGTCCAAGATAGCTTATCTGTCACTAGTGGGTCCTGTTTACTCAGCAGCTGCAATGAGCCAAGCATTGCATCAGGGGCTGTGTTCAGTGTTTTATCCTCATTATCTATACTCCCAGGAGGCAGGTGTCTTTAAACCCATGTTTCAGATGAGAAAACTGATGTGTGGAGAAGTGAAATAAAGGCTTCATTACAACGAAACTACCAAATGGCTGGGATTCAATCAGATCTTTCTGATTTCAAACTTATTGCCCCTCTCCCTTAAAAAGGTTGGTAACCAGAGAATATATAAATATTTTAGGGTTCCCTGGTAATCTTAGGCACCTGTCATTTCAACTGTTTCTATTTATTGCTTCTAATGAAAACATGAATAATTAAATGAGGACTGACAGTTGTCTCCTGATACAAAACACTAGGATTTGCAGATGGGTCTTCCCTACCTGGCTCCATAGCAACCAACTGAAAAATGGAAAAAGTAAAGTTTCATTGATCACCCAGCTATATGCTTCCATTCTGGGTGAAAGGGGGAAAGAGAAAGAAACAGCCCAAGTTCTGACACTTAGATGTCAGATAAACTGAGATGGTCACTTTGCCCACTATACCTGTCCTCCTGGAAGGAGGTCAAAGCATCCTTGCTGCACTCACGACAGAAATGTCCTGTGACCCAGAGGAACAGCTCACTGGAAAGGGTCAGTCAGGGATTCCTGAGTTTCCTGAGGACAAGGCTGAAACAGAGAACTTAACTTGCCACAGTGGAGCCTTTGCTGGGGACCGTAAAACTTCTCCAGATGTTTTCAACCTAATTCCCACAGCTCAAAGGTGTTTTCTGCCAAAGGCTCCCCGCCTTATCCTTGGCCTTTTAGATTCCCAAGGGGAGATGGAGAAAAAGGTAGATTTGGAACCTGGGGCCATTATTCAATTCTGCTCAGGAATTTTTCTAACACATCACTTCTGTGATTCAGAAGTTCCATCAGCAAGAATGGAGCTTCCTTAAAAAGAGGTATGTTGCCTGTGGATGAAGTCTGCCCAGGAGGCCAAGGTTGATGGCTTGGTTGTGTCCAGGGGACATTCCTATAGAGCATTGGAGAAATCTTGAATAATGAGTGGATATTTAATGACTAGACAAATTGGGAAGTGTGCACATCCAAAACTATTGTGCACGTCTGTGCGTGTCTCTGTGATCGTGTGTGGAGTAGGTCTGGGGGTTAGGAGGAAAAAGGCGAAAGAACTAGCATGTGGGCGTGTTAGGTAGGAGATAGGTCATGAGGAAGGGACCACCTTACAGTCCACTCAGAGCTCTCAGCACCCTAATCTCCCACTCCACATGAAGCCCCTTTCTATGAGGGGATACTGGGTCATCTTGCAGTTAAAGTAAGAAAGCTAGCTAGTTTTAACTTCTTATAGTTATATATATATATATAGATAGATAGATAGATAGATAGATAGATAGATAGATAGATAGATAGATATTATTAGCATTGCTGTTTGCTCCCCCTCTGTGCATTTTCCATGGGAAAATGAAACTTATGCATGGGTGGTAGAAAAGAAACCATGAGATCCAGTTGTCAATCAAGGTATCAATCAACCCCAAGATATCCAGGGGAGAAGGAGGGGAAACTAGCACAACTTAATAAAAGCAAGCCCCATTGTGTAGGACAGGGCCCATGTGGCAGGTTGGCCCACTCTGCTCTCCTGGAGTGTTTTCTTTCACTTTCAGTAAGTCTTTGCCTTGCCTGCCAACTGCTCCAGTCTTGCTCAATTCTTTGCTTGGGATGCCAAGAAGCTGAAGCCAGGATCCACTGGAAAATGTTGCCTGTGTGTGCTGGTACCCACTGCCCTGGCACAGCTGGGCTGTGCATGGGACATCTATTCACAACTAGTTTTAAGATCTTAATTAGTTTCCTATTCTTTTATAACAATTTGTACAACTTAGTGGCTTAAATCAATGGAAAATTATTCTCTTTTAGTCTTGTAGGCCAGACATCTGAATTCTATCTTATAGGGATAAAATCAATATATCAGCAGAATTACAGCTGACTTGATAATCCAGAATAATTTCTTCTTTTAGATCTTGGCCTTCAGGATGGACAGTAGAGAGTCCCTAAAGATTTTTGGCACAACATTTTTTAAAAAGTATTATGTTATCATAAAAAGAAAAATACTGGTCTTTAGCTACCTAGCATCTGGAGGCATAGAGGGACGGAGTGGTAAGGTATGCTTTGAACAGGTACTTTTCTCTGCTTGCAATCACCTGACCTGGCTGCTTTTCCTTTGTCTGAGGTACACCTGACCAGGTTTAGGGCGGATGCAGTCCCTCCAAGGAGCTGTCCCTGATACTCCAGTGCCAAGGTAAATTCCCTGTTCTTGGTCTCTCCAAAATCCTGTGCTTCCCTAAAAGTAGCACTGGTCACAGTGAATGGTAATTGCCTATTGTATCCCTAAAGAAAAGGGCGACAGCAAACCTCATGTCCCTGGAGGCCCCCTTTCTGTTTCCAAAAACCCACCCAAGTTAAGGGAACAATGAAAGCAGGCTTGGGATGAAAAGTCCAGTTACATATTATTTTGAAGGACACTGACTCTCTCACACACACTTGGAACAAGAGCAAGTTAGTCTTGTCTAGAAAGCTACTTTCTTAAATGTACACTATGACAGTTGCTCCTTGGAATTCTGCTCATATAAGCAAGCTATGTTTGATGATGTCATTGCTTCTGCAGCCTAACATATGAAACCCCTCTCTGAATGGGAACTGGTGTGAAACTGAGGACATGCACTCATCTAGCCATCCGCCCCTGGACAAAACACCATGAGGAAGAGGTGGTGCGGCTTGGAAAAGCACCCTGAGGGACAGAGCTGTCATCTGTCAGTCTGTCAGCAGTAAATCCTTCTTGGAGCAGTCACTGATCTCTTGCAAGCCTTCCCTGATAAACCACATCTCCCATGCTGTCTCTGGACACTTTCTCTGGCCTCTCTGCATCCTACCCCACTGCCCTGGCACAGCTGGGCTGTGCATGGGACACCTATTCACAACTAATTTTAAGCTCTTAATTAGATTCCTATTCCTTTATAACAATTTGCACAATTCAGTGGCTTAAAGCAATGGAAAATTATTCTCTTTTAGTCTTGTAGGCCAGAGATATAAATTCCATCTTATAGGGATAAAATCAGTATATCAGCAAAATTATTTTCTCCTGAAAGCTCCACAGGAGATTCTGTTCCTTGCTACTTCCAGATTCTGGTGTCTGCCGGTGGTCCTTGGCTCTGGCCACTGAAATCTTTACTTTGATGGTCACGTTGGTGTCTCCTGTTCTATCACAGAATCTTCTGTTTCCAGCTTCTGAGGACATTTGTGATTACATTTACAGCTAACCTGATAACCCAGAATAATTTCTTCATCTCAAGATACTCAAACATATCTGCAAAATCCTTTTTACCATATGAGTAACATTTATTACTCATTAGAGCCTGAATATCTTTGGGGGCCATTATTCCACCCATCACAAAGTTTTCACTGCCATAGGGACAGTCCTGTTCCCTATCCTGTCTCTAGAGACCCATGCAGGTGTCCAGGACAAAGTATGTGCTCAATGGATGTGTGTTGAAAATAATGAACAAAAAGAGCAGATTTGGGGGAAAATGAATTCTGTAGGAAACTCAAATCACACAGGTGTGATTACTGATATTGACAAGGCTGGACACAGAGCAGGGGTAAATTATACTGGTTATGTAGGACATAGTAAGGATCTTGGCCTTCAGGACAGGCAGTAGAGAGTTTCTAAAAGTTTTTGGCACAAATTTTTTTTTGTTAGAAATTTTAACTTTATTAGTTTGAGAAATGTTAATTCACATTATTTGTCTATTTTTTTTTCTTTTTTTTATTAGTTACACATGACAGTACAATGGGCACAACATTTTTTAAAGAGTATTATGTTATCATAAAAAGAAAAATCCTGGTCTTTAGCTACCTAGCATCTGAACTCTATGCCTCATCTGAAGTCTATGGGGATTCCTTCTCTGGAATGCCTAAGTTATTGTGATTTGATTTTTGTTAATGGAATGAGATGTGTGTTTGAGGTGGCCCCCTGGTGAAAACGACTGTACACAAAGTCAAAATCCCTGCATAAACAAAAGATTTGTGAACTCCAGAGGGAAGGGTCCATGGTCTTCCTCCTGGGAACAGCTTCCAAGAAGTCTCTCTCCAAGCTGCCTCATTCTGAAAAGCCAACACACCCCAGGTTTCCTTGCAAGGCTCCAGGGGCAAATCATGGAAGGACAGAGACCTCCCAAGGTACAGACAGGGCTACAGACTACTTGGAAGTGGCCCCACAAAGCAGAAGCGTATGCAGTGAGACATGTGCCTGTGTGCCCATGGTGGGGGAGGAGGAAGCCAAGGCAGAGAGACGGGCAGGGGAGAAAGGGGAGAGGCACCAAGGAATTTCACAAGAGGGCTCTGCAGCTGCCAAGCAAATGGGAAGAGAAGCGCTAGAAGAGAAAAGCAACCACAGTGCCAGCATCACATCCAAACCCACAGCCCCACGCCAGGAACTTCTGAACGTACTTTTTTTTTTTTTTTTTTTTCTCATTCACATTCCCAAACACTGAATGGCGTTGTCAAACTCAATCTTGTTATAAAGATGACTCATTTTGTATTTTCTAATCCTTTACATTGATTCAATCAGCAAAGGGTTTTCCCATTCTCTATCTCATTTGAAACTCACACGCCTCCTTAGAGAAACCTGACAGCTCCCACAGTCCCTGTTTAACAGATGAAAAAACAGGGGATCAGGGAGGATGTGCCGTCCACACATGTCACATACCCAGGGAGTCTAGTGCATGGTTTCAAATCCTGCTCTTATAGCCTCTCTATGCCACTATTTCTTAAGTAAAACTCCTCTGTCTTCAAGCTATTCTAGCTATTCTTTTAAAGGATCATGTAGCATTAGACACACACTCGTGTATACACACAAATATGTGTAACAGCATGTGTGTGTGTATGTGTATATGTGTGTGTGTGTTCTGCACATAGACATGCTTAGATGCATATATAACAGAGGTCTCATAGGAAAGCACTTGAGATTGCAATGAGAGAGTGCAGAAAGAACTCTTACATTCAAATGAAATATGAAATAACAGGGATGTCCTTCTTTATATCCGACTACTAAAGAAAGGGCAAAATGGTGACAAGTTCATAAGGATCAATATGAAATACTTGGATATGTTTTGGATTAAAAGGTTGGATCCTAATTACAATGTACAACTTACTTCTCCGTGGCAAGGCCTCATTTATTGTCATATTCTCAAATATCTCAAACACCAAGAACCTTCTATGTGCTCAACATTGGACATGGTGTTGGGACCGAAAACCAAATTAAAATATAGTCCCTCCTTTCAGGGAGCTCAAGGCAGAGGGACAAGCAGATGTGTAAATCTGAAAATTATCTCCCAATGTGACAAGTGCTTTCGAGGCACTAATTTGGTGGGACACAGAGCAGGGACATCTAACTCAAGTGAGTTCACAGGAGATGTTCAGGAAGAGCTGATGCTGAGGCTAGCCTGAGCTTGCTGTGCAGGAGCTGGCTACATGACAGTGACAGGGACTCAGGAAATGTTTATTGGATGAACCAGTGGGAGGAGTCACTGGGTGAAGAGGCAGCTTCAGCTTCTCTCCATGGACCCATCCCTTCCCCAGGCCTCCACAGCAGCTCTGCACCCTTTTTAGACAGTCAAATATGAGAACATCTTACATTGGAGCTATAAGAATTCATAGAAAATTCATAAACTATTTAGGTAGTGGGTGTCGTCACACTCAACCAACCACAAAGCCCACAACTTAGGGAACTGAAAAGCTCAGCTGCCTTTCCCCCTGTCTAATGAAGAATATTCTAGAGTTTCTTCACTCTGTGAGCCTCCTTTTCTTGGTGAACTTTCTGGTGTCAAATTATCCGGCATGCTGGAAACTAGTTTCTCTTCTGAAGACAAACAACCAACGACTAAAGCACAATTTATATCTATTATTTTTTCATCAGGCTTCCGCCTCAGTCTGGGCAAGGCTAAATAAGAAAAACTATTAGGAAAATCGGAGGCGAGGACACAAATGAATGCTTTACCTTTGGCATTTAGATGAAGATCCGATTCTGAACCCTGTGTGTCTTCCTCTGTGACATTTCCAGTGCTGAACTGGAAAATATGAATTCAAGTACAGAGATAGTCTATAATGAATCCATCCGGGCCCATATCAAGTTTTTAAATATTTACAATTATGGTCCTGGCCTTATTAAACTTGCAGGAAAACAGCAGCAGCCAGGTTTATATTGGGGGCTCAAGAAGCCTCTCTTAAGCCAGCACCTTCACATCAACTGCCTGAAATTTCTAGAAAAATATACATTTATTTGCCACACTCTTGAGGTCAGAAAATAGCATGAAGACATCAGGAAAGTGGCTTGCTGGGTTTTCTCACATTGCTTTTGGGCACAGCAAAGAGCATATATGAGTTACCAAATTCGTATTCAAATTTATTATAATTTTGCAAGGCTATTCCATATTAATTGTCCAAGAGCAGGCAATTCTAATAGATATACAGGGACAAGGAATAAGTATGGGAAATAAAGAACTTCCTGTTATCAAGGACAGTGCAAAATCAAGATATGAATCTGAGTTAGAACCAATTCTTACTATTTTCTCCTGTGTTATTGCGCTAATGAATCAGGTGGGTTGGCTACCAGGAGACTGTTTCCAGCCTAGGCCCTACCCTTACTCCTTGTTCTATGGCAGGAAAACCACTTAGCTCCCTTGGAGTTTGTTTTCTTATGTATAAAGTGGGAAGAACCAGCATGATCTCCTCAGGAGTGTGTGCCAGATTCAGATGCTGCTGCTGTATTTTTCAAACTGGGGTTTAAGAAACACTTGTGGAGCTGAGTGTGGTGGTGCATATCTATAATCCCAGCAGCTCGGGAGGCTGAGACAGGAGGACTGCCTGTCAAAGCCAGCTTCAGCAATGGCAAGGTGCTAAGCAACTCAGTGAGACTCTGTTTCTAAATAAAATACAAAATAGGGATGGGGATGTGGCTCAGTGGTTGAGTGTCCCTGAGTTCAATTTCTGGTACCCACCTCCCCCACCAAAAAAAGAAACACTAGTGGGATTAGGAAAATAGTAGATTAAGACTAGTTTTTTTTTTAAAGTAGAATTAGAGTAGAAAAAAATACAAGGGACTACATAGGACTGGACAGTGATGCACATAGTAAGTACTGTATTGTAAAGTTTTGTCTGTGTTTATGGAAGTACTCAGGTGTGACGTTGAATGCATGTGTTACTATAAATTAAGGCTATGGTATATGCAAGAGCTTTGTGAAATATAAATGGAGATATTCAGGAAGTAAACTAGTAACCCAGAGATCACAAATACACCATTTGGCCTGAACAGTGTTCTCAATTTAAAAAGAGAATGATTGGGCTGGGCAGTACAACTCAGTGGTAGAGTGCTTGCCTAGCATAAACGAATACCACAAAATAGAAAAGAAAAATCAAATTCAATTAAAAATGTTAAATATACTCAGATGGCATGTCCTACTCCCCTTAATTTTTGCCAAAGCTTATTCTTAACATGTTCCACTCATGTTAACTGGTTGTTCCATGACACCTCTGATTTTGTGATATCTGGATAAAACATATTATGTATGTAAAACATAAAATGTGTGTATTCTTAACTTTGAATTTCTTATCCTGACTTGGAATTGTCATTGCAATTGTCTCCAAGAATTTTAAGAATAGGAGCCTGATTTTTTAAAGTTTCAGTCAGGATTTCTGGGTCCTTGTCTGTATTCTGACTCTGCCATGGGCCACCTGGAGATAAAAAGGAGAAGTTTCCCTGCTCTGTGCCTGTTTCTCTCATTGGTAAAATAAAGGTATTGGACTCAAATCAATGCTCTCTATTGGCAGATCCACAAACAATGACAAGTCTTTATCTGCCAAAATAGAATGGAGAACACTGGAGGAGTCTATTCTTTGCCTTTACCTGTTTTATTTATCTGGATTCTGGCTTAGGATTTTATTCAAATAGATGATCTTTAAAGTCCCATCCAGTTCTACCACCCAGACCTCTTGTCACCCAGTGAGATGTTTCCTCAGGCACATTACAACACATTCATTAAGTTATATTCATTTTTTCAAAGCCTGCTCAGCGACTGAGGCTGTGGCTAATATGAATGGAATATTTGACAACCCACAGCAAGGTTCTTCATCTGTTATCTGGCTTTCAAACAGAGTCCAGGCAAATGGTCCTGTATTCCTTTGATTCTGGCAATTCCTGATGACTAACTGCATTCATCTCCTCTGATACGTTGCTACTCCCATAGATCTTGCTGGAAACTTTCTGTTTCAGAGATTCATCCATCAGCTCATGTGGATTAGGAGGACATTTAATGGTGAATTCATTATTGTGAGAAATCTCTTGAGTTGCAGTTACAAAATTTTCTCTCTCTTTTATAGAAAACTCCATCATTCACCCATTTCTTAAAATAATTTACACCAAGCTACCCTTTCTACTTCTGGCCTCCTCTCCTGTTTTGCAAAGTTTGAAATGTTTACCCCCATGTGTCATTTGATTCGCTTCAACCCAGGTTTAGCATGTGCCTCTTTTGTTCCAGACACTCTGCTAACCATGAGACTGTTATAAACAAAGATGCCCTCTGCACACTGGTGCCTTTGTGAACCTACATGTCCCTTTTCACTCTCTGCCTCATCCCTTAACTCTGGATTCCCTCTCACATTCTCTTAGGCCTTTATTCACCAAACCCCAGAGACTAACTCATGATTCCTCATACTCTGCTTCTAGACATTCATTCCTCTCTGTCGATCACATATTTCACCATGTGCCTTGGTTTCTTTATCTTGTGGGGAAGATTGCATTAATGTAAAAGGTCAAGCACTTAAACTGTGTCAAGCCCAGGACAGATATTAAACAAATGTTAGTTATTAGGATTGTTATACTTATTATGTATAACCGATATCGATGTCTGTTTCATCTGAGCAGATGAAATAGAGCAGAAAGCAAGGATTGGAGGGCGTGCTTGGCTTTGGAATGTGTCATTCAAACGGAAGAGGAACAGATCCAGAGGGTTGGTGATGTGGAAATTCCCAGACCAGGTGTGTAAAGGAATGGTTTTAGAACAGAAATAGATAACGCTGGAAACGTTCTGCAGATATCCCAGCCACCATGAAGGGTCCGACATTGAGAGTATCCTCGCCTCTCCAACCCTATCACCTGCAGCTCTGGAAAGGATACTCTGGTCCAGCTTTTGAGGAGGAGTCACCTCAGTCTTTCTGCTCAGGCTGCCAAAGTTGAGGGAGTGGGTCACAGGGCTTGACGGCCAAAGATGGAGAGTTCCTCGGGCAGCACTTGGCCTGCTGCCTGCTTTTCCAGCAGTCCCATTCACAGGTGTGGGTTTGAGTGTGTGAATTAGAAATGGGGGATAAGCTGCAAAGGGGCCTATTTCCCTTCCCCAGTGGAACCAGTGGAACTGGAGAGGTCTCCATTCATCCTCCTTTAGAGCACCTAAGTCTGCTCTTCTCAAGGCTATAAAAATTATTCCTTGCCTGAGGACAAAGCCCACAGTCCAAAAGATCTCAGTGGTCAATTTGTCTGTGTAGCTGCAAACTGAAAAATTCAAGGCATGGATATGGTAATATTTAGCTATTATCACATAGTCATATAGGGATTTACCGGCTCCTTTAGACTTTCTTAAGTAAATTATTTTACTTATTTGTTTTTTGTCATTACTTATCTATTTATACATCCAACAAATATTTATTCCCTAATCCCTGAGAATGATATTTGATATTTAAATGAGTAAGTAGAAAGAGCAAACCACAATCCCTGTCCTTTATTGATCATAGGCTAATTGTTAGAGAAAGAAAGCTAAGCAATCATATAAAGGAGAAGAATAACGATCACTATGTATCAAGGTATGAGCAAGGCACTTAGAAACAGAAATATCAAAGGCTTGAGTCATATGTTAAAGGGCTACCTTCCAACAGACACATACACACACACACACACACACACACACACACGCACGCACACACACGTGTCTAACAGATTAGCACAATCCTTCCTCTACTTCCAAGTTCCACCATATCTTGATGTCCCTCCACCCCAACACAATCCACTGCCTCTGAGGTCTCTCTAGGGTGGCATTAGCATGAAAAATAGGAAGAATATTTATTATACCTGTTACTTGGTAGTAAAACATGTTTCTTTGTTTTATAAGCTAAGTAAAAAAAGATGGGTCAAAATACTACAATATTCATAGTAATGATAATAATCAGACTTGCTAATATTTAGTGGATTCTCAGTAAGTGTCACTAGGTTGGCTAAGAACCTTCCATACACCTTCTTATTTAAATCCTGTGCAACCCTCTGCATTAGAATCTATTATTTTTCTTCATTTTTATAGATGAAATGGAAGCTCATAGAAATTGCCCAAAGTTACCCAGTTAGTACATGATAGAGTTAAAACTTTAATTCATATCTGACTACTAAACTAACCCTCCTCATTACTGTATCCTATAATTTTTCACAAAGTGGGATTTGGGAGGTTAATGGGGGCAATTAGGACCTCTTCACTGAAGAACTGAGTAGCAAACGGAAATTTTGAAATCTATTAATTCTAACTAACCAACTGGATTCTTTGGTTCTACAAGGCTATAGAATTAATTTCAGTTTAATTTAATGAACTAATAGAAGGATAAAAACTCAGTGCCTGCAATTTGGGATGTATATTTTAAAAGTTCTAATTACCTCCCTTTTACCCTCTCTCTTCTATCCACAGGAATCAAGCATAGGGCTATATACATATTTGACTGTTTGACTGATGGATGTGGACAAAGTCTGAGATTTGGGAAACCTACTGCTCATCAGTCATGAAGCAGGGCCTGAAGGTGACAGCTACATATCCCCAGCCACAGTTTGTGCAAAAACAACATTTTATTTCAAAGCACAGTTGAAAGCGTCTCCTTTGCTTTGAGAGTGTTAATTATTTCTGAAGTGTAAGAAAGTGCATTCAGACAGGGGTAGAAATATCTGGACCTTTTGTGATTCATTTCTAATAGCAAAGTTTCTTTCTTTACAGAAGATCTCCTGCTTAATCAAATAGTGTATGCTCTTTTAATTCTCCTTGCTGGCTTCTGTCTCCATTCTCTTGTTTTTTTTTTTTTCCCCACAACCATTTTTAGAGATTTGAGGAGTGGGTGGGGAAACGGAAATGGTTTTAATAACAATACGCTAAGAATAGACCCCAGAGCTAATTTTCCTTTATGCTTTTGGAAACAGGAAGAACCAAGAACAAGTTAAGAGATATCTTTCTTTGCTGGCAAATTCATTTTCCAGAACGAGAGGCAGTCATCTTTCCTGAGGAGTCTGAAATGCTAAGATAAAGATGAAAAGATGGTGTTTTATCATAATGACATGGATCTGCATCCCCATTTATTTTGTGCTCCCACAGCAAAAATATACTGGGGACTGTCACACTGCTTTGAAAAGTGGGAAAATATTTAACAGCTTAAATAATCCCACAGTAAAAAAAAAGAGGCACCAAAGGGGAAGAGCATAGAATATAATAACTTCACATTTTCCCTGGGGATTTGGTGGGGGGTACCTCCAACTGCTGACCCAGATATGGCAATTTATAAGTCACCTCCTAAACTCTGTCTGCAACTGGTACTCTTTAGGAAAGAGGATTTCCTTGGCAGTTTCTTAATAATAATATTTTGTTATATCACTGGAGCATTTTTAGGCTTCTTTCAATTATTTCCACATCTATTATCTCATTTAGTCCTCAGAGCAGCCCTGCAACGTACCTGGGGCTCATACGGTTACTTCCATTAATGGAAACCAGCCACTATTCAGAGGCTTCAGCTGAGCACCAGAAGTGAGTGGTTAAAAGAGCAGAAACCACAACCACAGGCTCTGACCCAAAGACCAGATTTCTTCCCTCAGTAATCTAGCGTTTCTTTTCTCGGAAGGTGTGCACACGTCAGCAGCTTCTTGAAGTTACACATCTCCTTATCTTCACAACAATTAATTTCAAGTATTTACGCTGAGCTAACATTATTCAAAAGACAGTGAATAAGAAAAGCAGATTAAAATTTCCCCCTTCCCACCTTTCCACAACTGGATCCAAGAATATTTGCAATAACTTCTGGTAAAAAAAAAAAATAATAATAATCACTTTAAAAAATAAACAAATAAAATTCTGGGTCTCTATTTGAGTCTCTTTCATATCATTTCTGTTTCAAAGTCCCATCATATTGGCGCCTAACTCTACCTCTGTTTAAAATCTACAGCTGGGTCGTATTTTCACCTTCCGGTTTAAATACATTTCGAATGTGTCAGTATCATTGCTTCTACTCCAGATTAATAGGATCAGCCAAAAGGATGGCTGACATTTTTGTTGCTATAGAAACTGGTCCTGATGTTACACAGCCTGCCTTTCCCTTATTTGCTGTACATCTATCCAGCTACTGAACACAGACATCTTTTTGTTTCACAAGGAATTACATTAAAAAATTAAACCATAATTTCATTCTGGTTTAGTCCCCTCTCTGTCGACAAGGGTATTAAATAACATTAAGAGGCAACTAAAGGAAAGTGGAAATTGGTGATGGTGCTCAGTAGCTTATGAGCCTCCCAGATATAAAAGAATATAAGTTCAACAAATTATCCCACTTCCTAAATCCTTGTTCTTTCCTGCTTAAGGACTTTAAGACATTTCCTTAGCAAATCTCTAAACTAAGCCAACATATTTCATATTAGACTGTGGACATCCAAACCAAGCCAGATCCTATTCTTTCTCTTCCCACCAAAAAAAAAAAAAAATAGAAAAGAAAAGAAAAGTTTCTGGACAGCTGTTCCCGTAAATATGCCATCAACATCCCCCAACATATCACCTTCATTGTACACTCAAATTCTCTTTCCACAGATGCACCAATGCCCCCAGAGAAAACCTCTCACACAGAATTAAGATGTGAAGTTTCAGCTCTTAATGATGCAGCCAGTACGTATGGCGGATGCCAGAAGGTACATTCAAGAAGGAAGGGATAGAGGGAGTGGGGGGAAAAAACCCTTCCCAAATGGCCAGGAATACAGCTTCTCCAACCCCTGTAATGACTGATGTTTATCAAAAGCAGCTCCCTAATTGACAGGTTCTAAGCTGTCAGATTTCCACTTGTCACAGCAATGATGGTCATAGCATGTTATACAATAGTGGAGCTTCTCTTTTCCACTGCAGATTTAAATGAAACTTTCACAACCATTTGGAAAGCACAGATGACCAAAAGGGACAGATTCCCTAGGCAGCACTCTGGGGTCATCAAGTTTACCAGCAGCTGTCATAGAACTCCAAGGGATGTGTCTGCATTGGGAAGCTGATGGGATTTATCAGTGGTTTACTGACCAAGAGAATATTTAAGGAAGACTTCATCACCTGGTGGACTAAGGAACGCCATCCACAGGTTGGATGCAGGGGACTCTAATGAGGTCAAGGCTACTATGTACCAACAACCAGGGGGTGACCAAAGTGTCAGCAGTCTTTCTACAGCGAGGGGAGGAAACTAAATTAAAATTATATGTCACCCACTTCCTATTTCAGAGGGTGAAATTCTAAGAAAGGACAAAAGAAAAAGAGTTAAAACTGAGCCTAAGCAATATGCATGGTAGCTGATAGAGATTTAATTAATTAATATAATTTTATTAAAATTCTACAATTTCTCTGAGGTAGAAATATCCTTAAATCCACTGGAGAGGTGATGCAGCAGCAGTTCAGCCAAGGCTGTGGCTGGTCCCCATTGCCCACTGGGTCCCCGGCTTCCTTCAGGTGGCTGAATGGGAAAACGCAGTGGCTGAGAGAAGGTGGAGAATGTCTGACCAATTGTATACCGTGTAAATCCAGTCTGCACAAAATGGCCATGAGCTAATTGAAGAGAAGGCCTGTCGATTCAACCTAGGTTTATTTCATTTCTTTTTGTCCACCCTTCCCCTCCCCCCTTTTTAAATTTTTTTTTGGCCAGGGGAATGCTGTGGATTTGGTCTAGTTTTTCTTTTTCTTTTCCTTTTTTATTTTATTTTTGCCAGGGACATTTCCAAATAGCATAATACTAGTGGTTTTTCACAATGTTGTACAGAAGTGTCAGGAAGAGTCGTGTCGTCTGCGGTATCAGCCATGGAGGATTCTTTTCAGTTAGGATTCCAAATAGGATGTAGCTCTTCTGGCTAAAAGGGGTGTTGATGGGTCAGGGAGATGGCAGTGAAAACCGCAGAGCATCTATTTAGACAGAGCAGAGACTCGCTGTGGCCATACTGGCTCTAGGTATCCTATGGCTTAAAAATGGTTTGAACGAGTCCACAGGGTAAAAGCATGGTCCCCCCATGTGTGTTGTTGAGGTGCTAGAACCTTTGGCATAAGCAGCTTAGTGCAAGGTAATTAGGTCATGGATGCACTGCCCTTGGAAGGAATTAATGCTGGTCCCAGGGACTGAGTTGTTCATGAGAACAGGCTGTTATACAGTGAGGTCACCACATTCATTTGGCTCCTTCTGTCCTCAAACAGCTCCCTTTCTCTCTCTGCCATGTTGTGACACAGCCAAGGCCCCTTGTCAAACCACTAGTACCATGCTATTTGGATCCTCCCACCACCAGAATTGTGAGTCAGATAAGCCTCTCTAATTTATAAAGTACCCATCATTGGGTATTTTGTTATTGCTACAGAAATTAATACAAAGGTCAGTAATTCTTTTGAGAGATGGATTTGCAGAATAACCCAAGAGCTCTAGTTGTGGGTAACAAAGTAATATATCATTTGAAACAAGATTCTTTTTTATAGTGAAAGGGGCACTACAAATAATTTATAGCTAGACAATAGTCATAAACTAGGATTGTCCTGGGTGAATTGAAAAGTATGATCACACTATTCATAAAGTATTTGCATATAAGTACAGATGATATATTAAATATTGTCCTGGGAACAGGCTATAAGTTCAGGCATTCTCAAAAGATTAATTGGTCATCCAACTAAAATTTAAGAAGATTACTTATATTACTCTAGAGCAGCCCTGTCCAATAGAAATAAAATGTGAGCCACATATGCAAGTTTACATTTTCTAGTAGCCACATTAAAGAGCAAATGAAATTAATTTGAATAACATTTTATTTGTGTAATGCATCTAAATCATTATTGTTTCAGTGTGTAATCAATGCAAAAAAATTATTAATGGAATACTTTACAATCTTTTTTTTAAAGCAGACGTTGAAGAATGGGTAAGCTTTGACTCTGTTGGGAGAAAGGGCTTCCAAGAGAAGAGAAAGGTGTCTTTAGACTTCCCAGAAAGATTGAAGAAAATAGTGTTGGAAATTTCAAAAAAGAATAGAATGAGAACCACAATGCTTTCATCAAGGGGACAGGATTCTAAACCGAGTTGGAATGAACAGTATCAAGTACAGCAGGAGAAAAGAGGGCACATTTTTGCCATGAATAAATGTGAAGCCTAGGCCTTCTTACTCAGGTCTGACATCCATGGAACTCAGATTTTAGGAGAACAAATTCTTCACTTCCAGTAAAGAGAAACAGAAACTCACACAGGGTCTGCAGGTCCCTCATCCAAACATCTGAGAGTCTCCAGTACCCAGTTCCCACTTCCTCATCACTGTGGGCTGATGGACCTCCAGGAATTGATGGTGGGAAAGGAGACTAGCCCAGGAGGAAGGAAGGGCAACTACCACTTTGGGGACCCTCATGCTGTAGGTACCACAGGGTACACTAATAGAATAAGAGTGGGTTATAGACATGCTAACCTCACTTTATGGATAGGTAAGCTCAGGCTCAAACAGGTCAAGCAACTTTTTCCAAGGCCTTATCAGTGAGCAATCGGTGAAGCTGGAATATGAACTCAGTCCCATTCAATTATGAAGCTTGGGCTGCTTCAATCGCACCATCCTCGCTAGCCAATTGGCGACTGTGCTTCGAGAAGGACCATAATAGAAACAGTCAATGATGATGGTGATGATAGTGAC